GGGTAACGCCAAAATCAACGGATACATTACCATAGCTTATCCTAAACCAGCCCTACAGTGACTATCGCAAGCGCAAATAGTTGCTTTCTGGCAACATATTTAAAAATTAAAAAGCGCAGGATTTTTATTTCTCTTTCCTACTCTTTGTATCGAAAAAATGCATTAAGGAATGTAATAAATTTAGACTATTGCTTCAATGGAAGGAAGGTGATGCACGGGAAACACGTCTGCTTTTTACATTCATTGAAACTCATTTTGCGGTAAAGAGAGAAGCAGCGAGTGCGAGTGCTTAAAAGTGTCCAGTGGGGTTGTAGAGAAAAAAAGAAGGCGACTCCAGCATAACTAACAGCCTAATTTCTGATTATTCCAGAAACACCTCTCCACGCAGATAGTCAGATTATTCGAGGACTGTGGAAGGGGCTGTAAAATCACTTTCGCCGTCTGAAAAATGGGATACAAATGGGAAGAAGATAATGCATAATTTATTTTACGACGGGGCTGAACTAGTTTACTGGGTTGGCAATGGAGGAATTTGCTAAAAACGAATTTACTTTTTTTTTATGGCGCTGTTGAACTGAACGGGGTCAACTGTCATCCCGTTTAAATGTTCAGTTTCCAAACTTCCTCACAGAAGAAGTGAAAAAGCCGATATGCTCTCAAAAATTTCAAAAATGTTGATGTGATATGGTTTTCTTTAGAGGTAAGCAATTGTACTCGGATTTAGAAGAAGACTATCAACATACTACTTAATTGTCACAGGTGTTGTTACGATAGGCTGAACCAAGGCCAGAATAATTTGTGCCCCTTGGTTCAAGTGGCGATTAACAGAAAACGGGTAATTTGATAAGGATGAGATGAGCAGTACAAGCGGAGTTTTTGGTGTGGGAGGCAGATTTTCCAAAGGCGCCTATCATCAAAATCAATCAAGTAATCGAGGGAATTCGCTCAGCTTGTGTCAAAACAGCACTTCCCATTTATCGAAGTGCTTCATTCCACCTGGCTTTTTAATGGCACATTTAATTCAAAAACAGCTTCCATCTGTAAAAATACTTTTGAATCTCTTGCGGCTTCATTCCGTAGAGAAAGTAACTTTGCTTCATATCACCAAACGGAGATCTGCACATAGCTCAAAGGAATGACTGACGGCAAGTAATTAGAAAGAAGATACTTCTGAGAGTTAAAGAGGAATTGCATGCATTCTAAGACCACCTTGGTGATGAAAGTGGAATTGCCCACCAAAGTACTGCATTATAGCCATCTCAACTCTGGTGGGCAGAAGTGATCATTAAACAAGGAGTCAAGATGAGAGGATGAAGGATGCATAGGACTGTATGAAATATACATTTGATCGATGAGGTTGTAGCGCCCTAAGACTTCCTTGAAGACGAAAAAAGTCATAATACTAAGGGAGAATATGCATCGGCGACATGGAGAAGGGGCTGAAGGGCTACTGGCATACCTCGAAGGCCATTCCGCCCTGCAGAAGCACAAAGGTGGAGCTTTAAGTGCCTGCGTAACAAAAATGCAGTGTGAAACAAGTAATCAAAGCATTACATAGCCCCCCCTCTCCGTTTGAGCTTCTGCGCCTACAATTCCCTTGGTCAACCTCCCCCCTTTGACCATTAAAAAATAGTTAATGCTGTAAGGAAAAGCACCCACGAACCATCGGATTCGCACGCAACTGAGAAGGTATTTGATCACAATGTCACTGTGCCCTCTCGGCAATTCCACTGGATCTGATAAAAAGGCTGGCTATTTCATATGTGCGTCGTTATTGGTAGGAACACAGGCCCAAAAGCAGAGTCATTTAAGGACGGGATTTAATATAGTTTCGTGGGGACAAGGTGTCGCGTCTATTCCCTCTTGCTACTTTGTTCTCACCTCAGTGCTGTCCAGCCATACCTACTTAGGTTCTATCCAGTTAGGGAAGTGGTGGAGGAGGTATCGCGCGTACACTTCATTGGCAACTTCATAGCGGTACCGTGGACAGTTTTGTAGCGAACTTTTCCCGATGTTCCGCGGTCACGGTTGCTGTCGCCTCAGTTGCTAGTAGCATTCCTGCAGAATGCGGGACTAGGATATTTGCTGAGAGGAAAGGTTATTTTCAATCCATCTGTTAAAGGTCGTCACCAATTCTTTCATCCACAGCATATAGCCTCCTTTCAGCACGCTAAGGTCTATTACTCAGCTGTAGAAATTAGGGTATTTACCCCTTAGAATGGGGTTCACTTTCTGTTGCCACAAATGTAGCGCACTGAGGCTTCTCCGAAGACAAAAGAAGACAATACTAGGCCAGAATATGTATTGGCAACACGGCGAGGGAGCTGAGGGGCTACTTGCAAGGTATGGAGGCCATGCCGCTCAGAGGAAGTACAAAGGCGGGGCCTTTAGTGCCCCGTCACCAAAACTGACAGAAAAACAACCAGTTTACCAGGTGGTACTCTGATTATCTGAAATATTTCTCAAACCCACTAAAAGTATCATCTATATTTGCTCTAAAAAGTAGTTTCATTTTCGTTTTTGTGGTTTAATGATCCCGCAATTTTTGGATGCTTGCAAATCGAGTGTGTGTTTGTCAATCAAACTGATAAACCAGTCAAACTAAAGTATTTAAATTCGGTCACCACAATAGACGCATGCCCTTATTTCTTTCGGACCTATGATCAGTAGCCTACTAATTGTCCGATTACGGAGGTGGAAACTAAGTTCCTAATAGTGTCCAAAATGTCCAGCTACCCAGGAAATAACACCGACTCTACTAGATTAGGACTTTCTGCAACCAACCGGACAAAAGAATACGTTGGAGTACATCTCCCTGGCTTATTTTAAACAGCTTTAAAGGCAAATCACCGAACCCTCGTGTTTATAAAAATCCCAGTCTGTTTTGTGGTTTCACTGAATAAACAAACCGTGTTTATATTTCCAAGGCATTTTAAATGCATCATAGGTACCACAATTTAGAAATTCTCCAAAATTTTTTTGTGAATTTGCGTGACTCTACACAGGCTCAAGAGATGTCCCAGGTTCGCAGCCCTCAGCAGCAACTACCACGTCAGATTTTACTAAATGATCATTTGTGGTTGCATTAACACCTCGACTTCGGTGTGGCATCGCAATCCACCTTGTTTATGTCAAACGGCGACTACCTTAACATAAACAAAGCACAGTTTGGTGGTTAGGTCAAAATTTCGGGCTCACATTCACCGTGGAAGGTACAACTATTGGCGGCCTCCGTAAGCACAAAAATTAGCCCATTTTTGAGGGGTCAGCGCGATCCATTACTGCAAATTGCCCACAAGTTATCTCCAATCTGTAGTGCGCCTTGAAAAACCAGTTATTGCCTTAGTGTCAGCAAAGAAATTGAGTGAATTTCCTAACAGATGTGTCGAGAAAAAGCAAAAAACAGCCTGCAGGCTTTACCGAAGCAGTGAAACTGTATCGAGAAATGATTTTTTCAGTAAAGTCAGCGTGAGGAATGTTGGGTTATTCTACGTTGCGAAGCTACAGCCAGAGCATTCTTTTTTCGCCGTTCCCGCTCAAAAAACCGATTACGGAAGCCATCTAGAAACTCACAGCACTTATCAACCAGGTGCGAAGTTCCCATCTGGCGAAAATTTCTGACGGTCCTGTTTTGAATCACAGGGCCACAGGGCTAAATAACATGAGCGAATTTGGGACCAGACGGTGTCCAAGGCAGTGACAAATGGTTCTCCCAGGTATTTATGACCTAAGACGTTCAAAAGTAACCAACATATTTTCCAACTTCCGCCATCATGCCAAGTGAAGAGATAGCAAGCTCCAAAAGAGAATTGTTAATAATTTCGTGCTGGCATGGTTTCAGTGGATAGCGAAAAGTGGCAACCAGAGAAAAATTGAGGAAATCCGTAAGCACAAAACAGGGATACAGAATCCCTTTCGGAGCGACTTATGACCAAGGGAAAGCATGCTTTGGTGCCCAAAGCAGGACCGCAGATCTGCGCACTTGAATGGGAAGTAGATGAGATTATTCGTGCGCGGCGACACCTTGAATTCGTGAAATGAGGAACCAAAAGAATTATTAAAACTGCAGAGGCATATCAATTTAATGGAGCCGGATCACCAGGAGCGAAGACCTTTAGATATCCAGGTCTAGTCACATTCATATGCTTTGCAATGCATTTTCCTGCCAGTTTCAAGTCACATTATACGTTGGAGCGCTACAGTGAGAGACTTGCAAAGGATAGAGTTAAACAGTCCTTGATAGTCCGAATCACTCACCAGGGTTCACAATCCACTTCCTATCATCTGGTGCTTTCTTGTCTTCCAAGTATTCGAATTCTATTTTCAGCTAATACGTCCGAACTGGAAATCAAGTCGACTTAGATGCTTCAAGATTCAACAAATCACTTTAAAGATCTCAGTAGGAGAAACTTGTCATTGTTCTCCCGAAAGTGGGGAAGGAGGAGCGAACCACTCCGAAAGTGGTGAACCAAGTCAACCCGAAAATCGTGCCAATCGGAAAGCATTGATCGTTCGCATCAAGAAGAATAGTAAGGTTCGGTCTACGGACATATGAATAGTTGATACGGCTAGATTTATATCCCGCATGGCATTACTCGCAGATTCATGTGAGAGTTAACAAATAGTGGCGATTTATCATCCTCGGCGGCCAAAAAGGTACTTTGTGCTTCCAGTGTTTCCCATGACCTAGAAGATATGCTTGCTCCTCAAGTAGAGGAAGCGAAAACTACTTCTTTCCTGTCTTCCTCTCCCAATTATCGCCAGTGGCGCGTTGAAGTGCAACGAACAGAGATTAGGTAGTGGGGCAACAAAGAGACCACGTAGCAATAATAACGCACCTCGAGCCCTGACATAGAGGAGCCATAACACGCCATTTGAGAGGACCCACGAGACTATGCATATTAACCTCAAAAACAGCAGAGCCGTGGAATTACAAAAAAAGATCTTTTCAGAGACAGTGTCGTTCTGAGAGGGTACAAAAGACGACCAGTTCCCATGTCTTACAAGATGGTCTGGGCAGCAGCAGCGTCTGTTAAACGGGAAGTTGAAGCCGACTTCATTTGAGAGGAAGTAGAGGCAGATGGGGTACTTGTCAGTTCCAAACAGCGCTTTAAAATGAGATCCTTCGACAGATTTGGGCCAGCCGAGTCCTTTGGGAAAACAATCGAAAATCAAATGTGAAATTGGTGTTCAAGTTAAAACGGGATTTCGGATTCCCCGACCTTTTCAAAGTGGCAAGGCACTGAAACATTACATATACCAAGTGCATCCTTACTACCCGACAAACACGTTCAGATTCGACCAATCCAAATGGCGGAAAAAAGTAGTGGTGAATGCGTGCATGGGATAGCGTGAGTGATAAACAAAGAGGTAGAATCTGAAGCCGTGGCTATCTACTTGCAAGGAAGACTTTAAGCACGATACTATGATGAGACACACATTCACTCCGCTGTAGCCCCGCTTTCAGCACAGGGCATTCAATTCGGTTCTTGAAAGGCCTGATCCCGGATACCAAATGCGTAAACAGTCGCTGAAATGCATAAAAGACTATTCTTCCTGCGGAAACGGTAAACAATATCACGCACAAACATGTGAAGTTTCGAAGGGATGATTTAGCATGGGGACCCTGGGACGATTGAGCCGTACTGGCAAAGCCTTGGGAGGTGTAGGCTAAACGCTAGGATAGGGGCATAAACATGCCAGAAAATTATGCTGCAAAAAGCAAACAATTTGCCCTCCTTGAAATGAAAGGTCGAAAGCCTTATTCGATTTAAATATGATTAATGGGGAGAAATGTGTTAAATATGTTTATAGGTTCACGTAAATAAAATTTGACTGCAATCAAAGGTGACCTAGAAAAGCCACCCAGTGTTGATGAAAGCAGTGCGCGCGACCTCAGTTTAATCACGACAACCTTTGGGGCTTCATGACGAACCTCATTACACTTCATTGCCGATGTGTTTACATTCCAAAATTGAAAACAAAATCTAAATTAAATTAGAAGTTGTAAACCCATCTGATTCAAGTTCTCCGTCCCGCATAAAAGTTTTGGGGTCTCCTCCACACACCAGGGCTGAGAGGTGCGAATAGGCCAATATTTGCCGGTTTTCAAAAGGCATGTTACGTAGTTCAAGTAAAACTTCGAAGTTCAAAATGCAGGAAACCTTGTTCAGCAAAACCGTACAGCCAGAAGTTGGAGCTTCAGTTGTAAGTTCACTGTGTCAGCTTAGAATAGGCCGTCACGTCTTCCACTTTTTTTCATTCCCCTGGCTGACAGATTGGCAAAAAGACATGCTGTCATGATTCTCTCGAAAAATCAAGTATCAGTATCATTCACCGCTCATTTGGCTTTTCAAGAGATTCATGAAATATTCTGCAACATAATGTTGCGAACGGATTCGTTGAAAGTAATTCGCTCATGTAGTGGTTACCACCGAAAAGCGAGCCGATGTAAAAGACGTCCGAAGGAACTTGTCCAAAGGCATTTTTGGATAATTTGATTGAGCTATTTACGGCATACTCATAATCACGCAGAGAACACAAACAGCCAAAAACACGCACGAGGAGGTGGACCGGAAAGCCGAAGAAGGAAGAGCTTACCCAAGCCGCAGGACACAGTTCGTAGGCTTGTGCAAGCAGTTCAGCAAAGCACGGCGCAACGTCAGTAGAGCGCGCTTCCTCCGTTCGCTCCTCCTCTGCCTCCACGCACTCCACTGAAGAATGCGGCTGAGACGATGGTGGTGGAGTCTGAGAGGCGCTGGCAGCGGCAGCGGCTGCAGCAGCAGCAGAAGCACGCGACTGCGCAAACGAGTGTAGCCGATAGATTTGTTGTAGTGTCTCCACGCTTACTTCACTCCATCCACCGCTCGTTTCCTGCTGCTGCACCCGTTCTTGTTGCCGCAACAACCACAAACGCAGAGTTGGGTGGATTAGGCTGAAGGCCCGACGTGCCAGAAAGACACGGTCGCCCTCACTCAGAAAGCCACGTCTAAGAAAGCCCAAAACACCAACTCATCCCAAGGAGAATAGAATACACATTCAAGGAGGGCAAACTTGCTTGTCTTCGGGTGGTTGTTTGCGAAGCTGGTGGAAAACTTGCAGCATACGAGTCCAGTCGCCGCGTTTGTTGAGCACCTCCAGCACCATCAAAGTGGAGCGGTACATATGCGATGCAAAACTGCCGCTACGGTCGATATCCGCCGTGGGAATTCGCCAAACACCCTTCGATATAACAGAAAATGGGCAGAGATTCTACGTCAATGGCTTTATTTGAGAGGAATTTTTGACTCAGAGCCTGATTGTATTCTTTTGAAGAACATCCTTTGGCTACACATATGTCACTTTCTCCATCCGTTTTAAATCCACTTTCTGCCATCCTGATGAAAGGATGTGACTTTGAGGGTCTGACGCGTTCATCAGTAAAAGTGCAGTTTACCGGATCGGTGGCTAAACTTCCAATTTACGGCATTTCCAGACCCAAAATCAAATGCAGAAACCCACAGTTTCTGATTCGACGAAATTCACTCTCCAGTGTGCCCACTAGAATTGCGACTACTGCGCGTTTCCAGACAACGATCCCTTACTGTGTAGGCTTATATAAAGACAAGTCGGTTTCCATCAATGATGGCACCTTGATTTACGGGTAATTTTCTTTTTAGGGGCCTTTCTTTACCACCGTTTCTCAATCTTGTCCCGTTCTCTTGCAGACATACTTCAAGGCCAGTAAAAGAATGTAATTTCAAGGATCTAAAAAGTACCCTCATAGAATAGCAAGTTATCGCGTGCAGCTCCACATTTAACTATTTTAAGGTAGCATGATCCTAATTAACAGCTCACTGCTGCCTTTGGAAAACTAGATCAAGAGTACAATAACCCTGGATTCAAAAAGCATTATACCTGATTAAACCTCCATCACTACCATTTCAATTCACTGCATCATCTTCTACCTATTTTATTTTTTCGAGACATAGTACATGTCTGTGCTCACTTCCTTATAAGACGGCATATTTTAGGACAAAGTAGAGTCGAACTTACATGAAAGAAATTGCTCTGACGTCTATCTTTGAACAAGCCGCCGTACTCAACTTTAGTTACATGATCAAACGGCCCCATCAGTATTGCCATGGCTTTGTCCAGATCCTTCAAAAGCCAACCAATAAATAGGGAAGAGGTGAAACTTCTCGATGTTGACAATTAATTAAACGCAAGCACTGGACCTACCTGCATTGAGGGTTGGTTCAGATAGAGGTGGGCTAAACGGTACATCGATTTGTAGTGCAATGGCAACCGACGCAGAACTAACTCCAGCGCCTCCCGACAGTACTCCACACACTTTTTCCACAGATCTTAAAAATATTAATTATGCTGTGTTTAAACCTACCTAAATCAGAAATTGAAGCAAAAGATGGCCGCGAGACAACCTCCACTGTGACCTCGGCATCGCTCTGCGGAGGGGAGGAAGTGGGAGCTTCCACAGAGGTGTCAAGGGCGCCACCGCTAACACTACAGCCACCAATAACACCCTCTAGTCTTGTCACCTTCGCCGGCGGCTCTGGCATCAAAGAGGGCCGCTTCCGGCTTCGAATCTTTCCTCTTTGTGGAGAAAAAGGAGATTCGCATAATTAGCCATACTTATAATTAATAAGTAGAAAACCAAGCAGGTCGTACGAGGCTTTAGCGGGTTCCGTAACGAATGCTGACTGAGTCAGGGAGTAGAGAGCTTCGCAGATCTGCCGCAGAGGCAGAGGGGATGGTGAGGAGGGTTCGGGTTCACCGGCTGCAAGAAGGACCTTCAAAATGAAGGCGTGGGTGCGGTAGAACACCTCAATAGACTCCACTGCGAGGTGGGGCAACTTGTTGTAGACAATGATCTTCTTTGGGTACTTGGCACCCGCCGCACGCAAGATATTAGCAGTGCGCTGGTAGTTGTTCAGCACACGCAGCACCCATTCGGAGCGAGTTTCTAGGAATGACAAAGGTTGAAATGGCTTTCCGGACCGGAGGTATGCTATATAACCAAGTTAGGAATCTTCGCTTCACGTTAACCAGTTGCTCGCTATATATGACAGAAACGATTGCTAGAACGAAAAAATACTGCAAACTGGTGGAAGCTTAAAAGGATAGACTTGATTCAATTAATCGCTTTGAAAAGGCAATAACACACTGAAAGAAAAAATTCAGCCAAGCGTGGTGAGAATAGTATTCCTCTTTTGGGAAATTTCAATTTAAGGTTGGGGTAAGGTAAAGATAGAGGGATATGGTAGTGACTGCAGATCCAGCTAAGCAAGAAGTTGGATTCAAACAAGGTGAAATCGCCTACCATGCAGCTGATGTTTTTTCAAATTCTCCTCACGAAAGAGTGCTCCCGGACCAGCCTTCTCTTCACATTTGGTTAGCATATAGTGGTAGAGCCACTCCTCGTCCACAGGTGTCGATGTCACCGGGCTCACCTTAACACCGCTACCACCGACGGCGGAGGGTGAAGCGGAAGAGATAGAGAGGGGGCTTGGTTCCACCACTGCCGCCTCGCCCGCCGCCACGGATGATGGCTGCACCTCTTTCTGTGTTACCTCGGGCGAAGAGGAGCGCCTGCGCTCCAGACGAAGTGCCTGACCGTAGGAGCGGTAGGCAAGGGTCAGCATTCGTCGGCGCCACTGCATACATAACCGCAGATGGGTCTCTTGAAAGGGTCGGTTGATAGACTACAAAGTAGAGGGAGAAGTGAACGATTAAAGCGGGGCAAGCAACCTATTGCTAATGGAGGAAGAGACGTACCTTCTTGATTAGCCTGGCTGCATAAGAGTGTAGCTGGTAGGCGAGACAGCCGCGCTCAGTAAGGAGGGTGGTGAGGCGCGGCTGAAGCTGCAGCGCCAAATCGAAACAGCGCAGGCAGGATGCTACCGCACGTGAGGTCACTCGTTCCGTCTTTGGGTCGATCTAGATGCATACGACAAACACAAAAACACTGGCTATCATTTTACCCAACCATACTTTTAAAGCCACAATTAGAATTTATTAATGGTGATGATCCAGAGGACATATGTAACCATTTTTTTGTTCCTACGTAGACGAATTTCACTAATTGGATAATGTTCGTAGGTAATGGTTAACATCAGACGCATGCGCACAAGATGGCATTACAAACAATCATTATTCGGAATAAAATGGCGAATAAATCGGTGCCAGTTATCAAGAGCCTGCGATGCACAAGACCAAGAGAGGAGAGAGCTCAAATCAGTATTGCAAGGAAAAGGATTAGTTTAAAGTAAAGCGCCGATTTCATTCAAAAATTGAAGAAAAAACACAGAAATATACATTGTTCTAAGAACATGCTAAATTAAAATACTGCTTTATTGACAATTCGGACAGTTGGAAATGCTGACAACTATCCAAACGTACAAGCCAAATGCTAGTAAATAAAGCAGGAAAATGAAACAACAAATGACTGCTACAAAGTGGTGATTAAAATGACATTTACTTGGAAACGGGAACCATAGTACGATTGCAAACAGGTTCGGTAAATGCAACCGTAACTTGACTGAGAGAAAAATGTACTGAGTTCAAGGATTGAATCATAATGAAAGAAAATAAGTAAGGACGGGAAAAAGAATAGGAACAAGTCTTTTAATTGCAATCTGGGAAAATTTTGACAATGATAGATTAAAAAATCTACAGAATTAGGCAAATTTCCTTTTAATATTGAAATCAAAGTAGAACGATTACGCAAAATCGCCCTACTATCAATTTTCCTCCAAAATCATACAGCAATTTTAGCACTGGTAGCAATAGAAAGTAAACCTGATTCTGAAGGACAACCACCCCGACTTCTATTACTGAATGTTAAATCTTAACGTGATGGAAGAAAAGTATACGCTGTAAATGGGAGAATCTTTGACTACTTTTAACAAAGAGTTGAAAAGGGAGGTAACCTTCGGCAAATACCTCAGTTCCGTGTTCTGCAGGGATGATACTAACAACTGAAGCGACACTATCCATGGCCGTGAACCATCTGGAATACTTTGTTACAGAGCTGCCTACAGTACCTGCATGAAGGTGTCAATGAAGTGAACTCGCGATAACGCCTTCGCCTCTCTACCAGCTGGATAGAACTCAGACAGATATGGCTGGATGGCACTGACGTAAGGACAAAATGGTGAGGAATAGATACAAAGTCTTATCCCAACGATACTATTTCAAACCTCGTTCCCTATTAAATGATGTCGCTCTTAGGCCAGTGTTCTTACGACTAGCGACAAACATACGAGATGGCCAGCACATTCCCTTTCTCCAAATACACTTCCCAAACAGAACAAAACTCCAGATTCAGTGGAATTGGCAGGAGGGATCAGTGGCAATGTGGCTAAACATCTTCTCAATTGCACGCGAATTCGGTGACTGGAGCGGTTATTTCGTGAGTGTTTGCACACACTACCTACTACTTTGTGATAGGCGACGGGGGCGATTGACCAAGAGTAGCGCCGAGGACGACGCTTAAAAGGAGAGGGTGGCTATGTGACGCTTTGATAGCCTCTTTAATCCTCGGTGTTGGTAAGGGGCCACTGAGGGCTCTACCATCATGCCTCCGTTTAGTAGCGTTGTCTCCGAGCTACTTCGGTAGCCCTCTTTCCTTTCAGTACGTCGGCAACAAATATTTTGCTCTAACCTTATATTTTCTTTCATCTTCGGGGAAGTCTCGGGACGCTGTATTAGTAGTTTGCATAGATAAAAAGAATTCACGATTCACGTGGGGATGAAGAATCAATACTATCAGCGAAAGTTAGTGACCTGCACAATCGTGCATTTTAACAATGGCCAGTGGTGGCATTCAGTTATTAACACTTTAGCCATTAGTCATGCACATAATGCTCCGATTTTCTTACTGGAACCCGCAGGTCGCACAACCGAGATACATTTAAACAAAATAAAATGAATGAGATTGAAGAGGAAGGCTACGATTAGTGACGACTGTTTAGTCATATCAAAACGGTAATACATTCCTTGGTTATGGTGGTCCACTTTCCTTTGAGACTCCGTCGGGGAACGTAAGAACTTAAAAATCGCTAATAGTATCATATCAAACGCGTCTGGAGTGATTTGGCCATAAAAGCAAATTATTTTTAAGCAATGGAGGAAATAGCTTTTATACTTTAAAACACAGGGAGTATAACTGCAACATAAAAGTGAAAGTCGGCCTATTGCAAACGGGTGAAATATGAATATAAAACCGAACGAGGCATCTACAGAATGCCCCCCCCCTTCTAAGCTGCTTTTTACGTACTATGAGAAGAAGGGGGGGGGCACCTGAAGTACGAGCAAGGCTGGAAAAACTTACCACATTAAGAATTTGCTCCAAGTGGCTGCTGTAGATGAGAGCCAAAGCTGCCCAGCTGTCAGCGTGATGCGGGGCTACTCGCAGATCCTGCTTGTAGTAGCGTATTGCGAGACTGAGGTGGAAGAGCATTTAAAGAACACGCGATTAAGCACTAAAAGTGTCGAGTCAAGCATCAAATTCCCATTACTCGCCATATCTTCATGTTATTCGGGCAATGCACTGAAGTGGATGAATCCTCGCCAAGACCGATCTAATGACCACTTGACCACGTTTCGTCTAAAAGCCGTTGTTTGAATCGCTGAACCTAGCTTAAAATAATCCCACACATTCGCTATCGGGGCATCGCAGAGGAAAATCAACCACCACAGCAATCCGGCTATTTTACCAGTCTCGTATGATTGCAAATGTGATTATTTTTGGTCTCATCGCCAATACAATTCATTTCTTGTTAATTGAAGGCGCCACGCGTGTGCGACATGAGGGCTGAGATAAGGAAATTAGGGAGTCATATATATACGCAATACTGGCAGCGAATGTGTCTGACCTTTGAAAAAAAGCATTAAATCGCCATCTTATAAGCACAGAGAAGTGCCTTCTGCGATTTCATTACCTCCCACACAATAAACACATTTTCTGTAGTTCAAAGGCAAATTCAATACTTCTCGTTTGAGACAGAGCATTATTGGAAACCGGAATTACATATCTTTGCCGTAAGAAAGGGAAAATACCTGTGGACAAGCATACCAACTGGCTTTTTAATAGAAAATGAGGGGGACTTACTCAAAATTGTTGTTTTTTGTATAGTAGTCCGCAAGGAGATAATACATGAGGTTCAGCATATCACTAAAAGCAATGGAGAAGGCATTGGGTAAAAGTATTCAGTGATATTGTCTCTACCGAGGGAAAACTCAAATTCAATAATCTTCCGAGATTAAAGGGGAAATCATATCACTCAAATTCACTGGAAGCAGCAAATCAACTTAGGATAGATTTAACATAAAACTTATTTAAAAAATACAGCTGATAACAACGTTGCCTGTAAACCTAAAGCGATAGATTAAACAAAATAAACCTTAAAATATGTAATCGGCCAGACAAATCCGACAGACGTAGAGTAAAGAAGTAAACCTGAGATAATGAATCTGCTCGGGCAAGGGAGCGTGCATCGTCATGCAGGAGTCAATTTGCCCCTCCGGAATCATGAACTCTTCGTAGGTCTTCGGCATCAGCTTCACTGCCTCCGTGAGCCAGTTTGCAAGCTACGGGGTGGAAAAAAAAATCATGCCTCATCCCTACTTTATAATAAAACAATTTCGTGAAATGTAACTTATCTCGATTTGGTATTTGACTGCATAAGGTTCCTGCCCTTAACGTCCCGGCCTTTCCACACGTTGGGAGAAAGTCTACTTCCCATCTCACATAACTTATGAAACACCAAAAAATAACATGCGCCGCATTTTACCATTCAATAGGCAAAGATTCCGAACTTAAAGAGCGTTGACAATAATTTCGCGGGTCTCTTCAATTGACAACTGCCAGGAGCCGTATATGGGCATGAATTTGGTTTAAAACAAATGGGAGAAAATACCTCTGAGGAAATTGAGAGGGATTTGATACTGTCATACTCAGGGACTATAGCCGGACGATAGAAGATGAAGGCGAGTTCGATGAGTTGCCAATCCTAAAAAAAGAAGACATGGAAGGTAAATCAGCAAAATGGAGGCCAAATAATGTCGATTGGCTAATGAAGTTAAAATGATAAGTGAAATGATAATTGCAGTAAAGCGATCATGAGTGAAATATGATCAAATCCCGATCACGACTCAGCTAATGTGATAATCTTCTGCAATGTTGACCCTTTAAGCATCCAATAGAGTTGTCGAAGATCGGAAATGGGCTGTTAAAGAGAAGTTAAAATACCAGACACTTGGTTTTCCCTAGGAAACTGGACATAGGGAATAAAGATGGGGTTAAGCACGAAAATTTCCCATAACGAAGTTCTCTAATAACCAACCATTTGGAAATGGAATTCGAAAATGACGATAAAACATGCACAAAATAAATGCCACATATTTAAAACAGCTTTTGGCCAGAAATTAGCATATCATCAAAGAAGAAAGTGCTAGAACTTCACCTTTTACAGCATTGACCTCATGCTAATGGACTAAAGTCTTATTGATTGATACAATTAAGATCAAAGGGATAGCCCCAAAAGAAAGGTACCTAAAGTGGTTCCAGACATGAGAGACGGATGGAAATGAAGCGACGGGGTAGTCTAACTACAAAGTTTTAAAAATAAAGGTGGAAATGAAAAAAAAACGAGTAATAATCGAAGGGTACCGGGAGGCCTACTTGTCAGTGTAGTAAAATGATAAAGGGATAGAGTTCAGATCCGGTTTAATAGTAAAACACATCTAAAAATCACGTTACGTTTCTGTCTTTATTCTTACGGAAGTGTTTCAGTCGGATTTAATCCTTAATAAGGTTTCAGGAAATGCAATCGCAATAGCTGCTTGGTAATGAAGACCGTGCTTTTCAGTGGGGCACAGGAGCACGGACTGAATGAGGACCTGACACTGATGGTTCATATAAACGTAAATACATCAACTAAATTGATTCACCAGCGCGGAAGGTCGAGCTCCCGACCACCAGACACCAACATTGGTAGAAGGGCAGCTTAGATCAATGACGTGTTCCTTGACGGATTCGTAGAAGAGGGTCCTATCAGCTAACCAAATAGGAGGCCTCGGAGCCACGCAGGAGGGTGGCATTGGAACAGTAGCTGAAGGAAGCGCCGTAAATGTTGGCACTTCAATCACCGCTTCCACCCTTCTTTCATAAGACTTGTAGGCTGGCTCTGGTGGTGTTGCTGCTTGCTGTAGGTGAAACAGAGTTAGCACTAATTGTGAACGAAATTTCCGGAACTTCAAACTGAGGGTCTTACTACCATTGTTTCACTTATCTATTTCAAACGAGAAGAATTGAAAGCCAATCGTGATAGCCAGGCAAAATCAGATAGAAGAACTATCCGAACATTATAATGACAACTGTAGAAGGCAGTTCAAGGTCTTAATAGTTAAATAACAATCACTCATGGCTTAAATTACGAAAGCAAAATGCTCAGGTAAAGAGTGAGGGAAAATGCGTAACCCACCTTGAAGCGCGAAGAGTTGGGACTGGATGAGGAGGAAGCGAGAGAGGAGACCTTACTAGGGTCACTGGTAGTGGTGGTGGTGGTTGTAGTGGTAGAAGTGGACGCACAGGGGCGTGCCGGCAGGCCACAGAGGCAGTGTATCGCTTGCGCTAAAGCCTCACCAACTCGGGCACCGCCAAATGGCCAGAGACGGTGACTACTGTTAGTCATCTTGGCTTCCACTTCCATCTTCTCTATCGACTGATGGGGAGTATCAACAAAGTCTTCGTCATCGGCATCCGTGTTTTCAGAGGCTTGGAGTCGGTGGTAGCCCTCAGAGAGGCATTGGAGAGCGCGAGCAACGGTGACAGCGACACAGCGGAGGTAGCGCAGGCCCATAGGAGCGGAGGAGAAGCAGCAGTGGGTGGTTGTGAAGGGGAGGAGGTCGTGGAGGAGATGAAGTAACAGAAGGCTGGGTGGGGCAGTGTCACGACCTCGGGCACACCTGAGCATGCGAGAGGAGGGGTAGCCGCGCAGGAAGGCAAGGATGCTGCGCACGGCTCTGAAAATTAAAACGAAACGAATACCGTCAATAGCGTAAAGGGACGATAGAGATGACATTAGTATGCTTTGCTGCGCTAACAATTTAGGAAGGCTTAGGGAGTACGAAATGACAAACAACAATACTCGTCACGCACTGGCTACAGAAACAGTTTACATCCTCTGTATCATTTTTTCGGTTAGGTATCTAAAAATTAGAGGCATTAAGAGTGAATTTACCCTAAAAGACATTCAAATTTCACAAATACAGAGTGGGATTCCGACACGATATAGAGGAATTTAGCAGATGATCCGACAACAACAGAGTGGAATTGAACAGTTCATGCTGTGTGGCAACTAGACAAGTAGAAAGGGATTTCACAGACTGGTCGGAGGTGCATTTATGCCTAATATAAGGTTCAGATGCATAATAATTACAGTCAAAGTACTCAAAATGATTACCGCTTCAACTCGACTTTCACCAATTTCAGCCAGCAATAATTAACGACAAGGTACTTTCGCCACTCCTTAATGCGATCATGCTGCTGAACAACAATGAGCGAGTCGAAATCCACAAGAAATAGGTTTCCAGTGATAGTAGAAAAGGGAGCTCAATTCAACGCATTTCGTTGAATTTAAATTTTAAAATCTTAAGACCTGGTTATTTACAGCACTTGGATTGTTTGTTTAACTCACGATTTTGGTAAGGGGCCACTTGGGGGCTCCGTCTTTGGGCCGTGTCAGTAGCCCCAATCACTTCTGCATATGGGAAACAAATATCCTACCCGAGTATTATACCCTCTTTCGTCTGCAGGAAAGTCTCGGAGCGCTACTTTGGTAACGGTGGAAAACGAACCCCCACCCTGAAGGATAAATACCCTGTTTTCCACCTCTGGATAAAAGGCCTTAGCGTGAAGGATGGGAGAATCTGTAGAGACCCCCAACAGAAGGGTTGTAAATGTTGTCTACATTCAGCAGCTACATCAGTCCCCTGTTCTACAGGAACGACATTCACAACTGAAGCTACGCTATCCATCAACTACTTGGAAAAATTCGCTACTGATGTGTCTATGATATCTATTTTAGGATGTCAACAAAGTGAACACGCGGTAACTCATCCACTTCTCTACTAGCTGCATAAAATCCAGGTAGACATGGCTAAGCAGCACTGAAATTAGAATAAATTAGCAAAGAAGGATAGACACGACCAAATCCCGTCATTTGGTACATCCCTCTGCTATTAAACCAGTGTTCCCACGACTAGCGATGAACACGCGTGATGGCCAGCACATCCTCCCATCTCCAGTACAGTTCCCGAATAGGACGAAATTTCATATCCAGTGGAATCAGTATGAGAAATCAGCGTTGTTGCGGTCAAACATCTCAAGTGCACGGAAATTCAATGACTGGTGAGAGCGATCCTTACAGCACCGACTACGTAGTGATGATTGACGCAGGAGGTTGACTAAAGGGGAGGGCTGGGGACGACACTCAAGGGGGGATGGGCTATGTAATACGTTGTTTGTTTGGCTTTCAGCTCCGGTACCGAGTCATTTAGGGGTTCAAACATTGTACCTCCTACGTGCGACCTGGCCTTTTGGGACGTTGCAATAGTTTCAATCCCCTTCTGTATGTCGACAACACAATATGCCATCGTTTTCATTTAGGGAAGCCTGGGAGCGCTATACATTAAAAATAACAAAAGTGGTAGGATTCCTTAGCAAGCTCTTTAGAAGCTTAAAGATGACAATGACTAAATACAGAATCCGAATTTGACACCGCTAATAAATAAAGGCCAATGAGTTTAGCGATTTTGGTGATGTTACAAACTCCCGTAGGCACAAGCACACACATTTATATTCAAAGGAGGAGGCAAACTAACCCACATGTGCACGTGAAACCATTATGGAGTAAAAAAGTGCTCGTTTCTAGGTCTAATACTAATGTTATATTCCTTCTGGAGGTAAAGCATATTTTTTCCTGCGAAATGCATTTACAAGTATTCGTTAGGAGCACACCTATCGTGTAATGATACGACCGAAGGTAAAGTACACACTCACCTCTGGTCAACATCTGGTCTACCGAGGTCGTACAGTGCTCGATAAATGGCCAACTTGGGATGCAAGAGATGGATAGGAAAACATGATTCTATTCTGAAGTGAAAAAAGAGTAAACTGAAATAAGCCAAGACACAGGAGAGGCTAAAAGCAAACAGCTTGGTCGATAGTTGAATTATCAGAAAAAGTGAATGAAGCGAAGTAAAATGAAAAGGGAAAATACCTGTCAAGAATTTCGTAGACGAATACAATAAATTTGTAGGAAAGTTCGGGGACTGGCAGACCCAGAGCGCCTGTGGCCAGCAGCCGCCACGCAAAAGTGTCGATAATGAGGCGAAGAGTTTGACAAAACTGTCCGAATGTCAGAATGAGGAGTTTGCCATCGCACTGCTTGAAGGTGAAAATAGCCTTGGAACAGAGCGACTCTGGGGTGAGCCTCTTGGCGAATGCTTTGGCATTCGGATCAGAAGACATTTCACTGTCTATGATATCCCAACATCTGAGCGTCAGGGTGAAAATATTAGTAAAAAAATTGATATAAATTGTGGCATCCAGTAGGTCTATATAAGGAATCTTAATTGATGATAGGAAAAGTGGGAATGTATTTATCGAACATTTCAAACAAGCATGTCCAAAGGAGTTATGGGTAAAGAAATTAAAATAGCGAAACTCACAACACGCATTGCTTTAAAAGATTTTAAAACTGAACATTATAGGAAAGCCAATGAAAGCTTACTTGAATCGAAAGCGAACCGACTGAGGTTTGAAATGTTTTAACTACTTTGTAGCAATTGATTCATGAAAAGACACTCATCAACTGTCATCAACGTTCGTAAAAATGCAAAGGCATTCGAATTCCGTTTGAAAAGAAACTTCAAGGTTATACGAGACATTCAAGCTTGCTATTATTAGGTATGGAGTACCGTTAAAGGGAGCACAAACTGTTTCTTTATTAAACAAGTTCAGGAAAACTACTGAAGAAGCAGGAGGAGAAATCGGACCTTTGGAGAGGAAAAATGAACACTTACGTCTGTAGGAGGGCGTAGGCAACAGTGACAGTACGCCAGACGTCCTCAAGACCGGCAGCCTCTTCCTCGGGTAGGGGCAGAGTGGGGAGGGAGGAGAGGCGTTCACCCTTCACGCATCTCGCCGCCACAAGGGCCAGTGTTTGCATTGCCACGCGCCAACACCGCAGCGCCAGTAACACCGTCTCCCTAGCTGCCTCAGAATCGCCATGCAACCCTGAAAGCCTCCTGTCGAGGGTGATCAAGGGCTGATAGAGCATTCGGCATATGCGTGGAATACCCTCCAAGTGCTGGGTATGAGAGGAAAGGGCTTGGTGACTGCGCAATTAAACCAATTGACTAGCAGATTAAAGGATCGACAACTATGCCGGATAGTTACGCACAAAATAACTGACTCCAGAGTTGATAGTATCTCATTTTAACTGTTCTTAAAAAACAGGATTAATGAGAGGACGTACAATGCCGGGATGCAACTGAGTGCATTTGCCCTTACAAAGAGCAGCAGAATGAGAGTGAAGGCAGTCCTTAAGGGCCTTCAATAGCTTTGCAGTATCTTGCTCCGCTTTGCAGAGGTGCTGCAGCCTCTCGCCTATCGATGCATCCTTTACCTCCGCCAACAACTCATCGATTCGATCTAACAAGAGAGCGCAAATAGGCTTTGCCGTTGAAAAGGTAGCTCGAATTTTAGAAGTAGTGGTATCGCTGACACCCAGTGAATAGTTAAGACGTTCCAACAAGATGAGACGTGGTATTATGCAAATTTGATATGGCGGGATGAGTACAAGCAAGCACAGGCTTCTTAGTTCGCTTGTATCTTTGAGACCCAACTGGGATCCACGCAACAGATATGGTATTCAAAAAGTTCGCAAAAAAGGGAAATGGCCTTATTTTGCGCACTTACGGAGTTACAGTACAGTGGAGATGGATGAATTCGATGTAAATAATCGCTAATGACATTTTCTTGAAACGAAAAAAGACCCGCAATTCTCACCAAGAGTAACGTAGCTATTACGAAAGGAGCATGAACGCCGAAGTGAACCGTGTTCGGTGACAAATTCTTTCATCTAAATAGGTAGTGGTAAGGAAGGCGGTGAGAAAGAGGGTACCTGCAAGAGGTAGTCCTTCATTGCATCATATTTGTGAGTGGCCACACTCAGCTCGTAGTTAATCCATAGAACTAAAAGAGGTGGTGGTGATGACCGTGGGTAAGGAAGCGGAACATACTTCTTCCATGAAAAACAAGTGTTTCTGGGGCATCCTCGGGAAGAAGGGAGACCAACTCTATCACCTTGTTGAAGTCGGGGATCGATATCGTCTCATCGGGTTCAAGGAACCTATTAGCAGGATTGCAAATATGATGAGTAATCTCGTAACTTTATTTGCTGAGATTGTTTAATAGGAAACGCAAGAAGAAAGAGTACAAAACCGGGGACCACATTTCAGGTGGATTTCGAGTATTTCCATTACAAAAACAATAATAACTTCCTTTTTGATGAATAGTTTTGTAACAGTGAAGCAAACAGCTCCAGTAAACGGAACATTCGGAACTCGGACCAAAAAGTACTGAATCACCACCAGTTTTGTATTCCGGGCTTACAGTCTTGTTTAATTTCACCAAGTGACAATTTCTCAAGCCAAAGCATATTTTTGAAGCAGCATCAATGCATCACAGTAACACCAATACTAGGGATAATTCAGCCTTTATCAACCAGCACTAGAACGAAATTGATGTCAGAAATCTACTTAGAGGTAGAATCGGGAGTGATGATAATAAAACTGCTACCAAAATTAATCGGCAGTAGAACCAAAAAATCAAATCTCCTTCTTCAAAAGTTCTGAAGGAGTAGAGCCTCAGACAAACCTAGCTGAGTCAACTTGGAGAGCCTGTGACAGTGCCTTGAATTCCAGGTCCTCGAAGTCAACGGCGCCAGCCCGGCGGGAAAAGGCAGAGGAAGAGGTGGAGCGACGCTTGGCGGAATCGGTAGCCTTGTGACAGAGAACCAACGCGTCCAGACGCACTTCTGCGTAGGCAGTATGCAGGTTGGTCAAGTGCCACAAACTCGGACATTGGCGCAAACGCAGAAGATCGATGGGGAGGATGAGCTCCTCCGTTGGTGGATTGGGCTCTGTATTTGCAGGGCGAACACGGAAAATGGGAACACAAACGTTCTTTGTGGTTCCGGACTAAACCAGCAATGATTATTTTCTGGTAGTGTATTGTTACCATTTCTCGTCCGAGTGTTTTCTAACTTTAGCATACTTCTGCCAGTGCTTAGCCAATCTCCAAAACAGGCCTTATTTTTGTGAAGGGAATGTATAAATCTCTCTCGCAGTTCACTCGTCATTGAAGTACGCTGTGTAATAAATGTAATATGTTTGACCACACCTTTAAGCCGAGAAGCGTTCAGTGAACAAGAATCTGATAATAGGAGAATCGTCAGAAATCTGCGAGGCAGAAGAGTGTTCTGAAAGTGCATATCCCTGATCCCTGTTCCATGCTCTAAATGTCACCAACAAGGAACACTCCTATCTACTTAGTCTATTCGCTCCAAGGGAATCAAGGCCAGGGAGGGATAGGTTAACGTCAAATGTTAGGGTGGATTACTGACAGATTAGTTAAACTAATGTAAAATGATGAATTAGGACTTGAATAATTTATTTGGGGCACCATTCTCTGCAAAACAAGACTCAACTCTTAAAGTGTTTAAATCGACTTTTACGAAGCATAATCGGAATTCGACACAGCCATGATTGTGATGATGAAAATGTGTAAGGTTGGTACAAGAAGCGGTGCAATGGAAAGCAAAGCTTGAAATTATGCATCAAGGCCTTGAAGAAAAGGACAGCATTTCAGGCAGTACCGCAAGAAATAGATTTAACTGGCATTTTTATTTAAAGGTGGCAAATTAAGTCCCGTTAGAGATGCCAGTGGGAATTTAGTAACTACTAAAGCGTGCTCCAGAGTGGACTATTAATAAAAAGGAAATTTTAGGCTTTGAATTAGCCTTGTTCTCGAGGTACCACAGCCTGCCAACACAGTTTACAACCGTTACACAGAGCATTAAAGCCACCACTGTATAGCTCATTCGGACTCGCAAGTGACAAAGATGATGATGACACAATGTAAGGGACAGGAAGTGATGCTATAAAGCATAAAATATAGAAGTATTTCATTTTCCTCAAATGAGAAGATGATTGCTTTACAACTATAACGGTCTTTGGTGGAGACATCGATGTTTGTAATGAAGTGAACCACGACATCGTGGCCTATGTGCAGCAACGTTCTTCCACCAATAATGTTTTGAGCACATTCTACTGAAATCAAGTATGCAAACTCATGTCAAGGAATTGATAAATACGGTAGAAAATAATGGCCAGAGATGTACTGAGAACAATGCAAATAGATCAGAAAGATGGAACCTATGGAGATACGATCAAACGAAAATAGACGCCGCCATTGATGTACGTGGAATATGCATACACTTCAATTCCCCAAGTTTACAATGAGAAGTTGCAAGTCAAACAAGATTAATTGTGATTTCAATTTCTCAATCCTTAATGTTTGGCAGAAAAAAAACATTGCAAAAGTGTGCCTTCCACTGCTGGGATCTAAAAACTCAATTTTGTAGAGCTTTTGTAAATCTTAAGTGTTCTAGGCAATGGTAAGTTTCCATAGTGACGAAATAAGATTGTCTATTAGTATTAAAATATAACAAAGTGCATTCAAGCTTCTAGGTTCAATTTGAAACAGTGACGCAACATAGAAAATACCTTTAGGAAGAGTGCTCGGTTGCCAAAGGGGGAGACATGGACGAATACGAGCAGAAACGGCCAGATATGCCGTCGAAAATGACTGTGTCCTGAAAAAATAGATTTGGCAAAGATATGAACATAAGCTCTTGATCAGTTCAATAAAGCATCATGAAGTAGAGGCAATTATTCTAATTTACGAGAATAAATAGATTGAGATAGCAAAAAGCTCCTATAAGCTAGTAGATCTCCATATTATTACCTTTAGAGTGATAAAAAGCGTCAGTTTTTCATTCAGCTGCGAAAATAGGGCAAACTAGAGCCTACAGATTTATAGAGGAAGCACAACTTTGTGACTGACCATACTATTATTTATTTCAATGGAGGGGAAATTTGAGTGGGGAACGGTGTAAGCATAAGAAGCACACCATGGTTTGATGTGAGCAGACATTTGCAAAAGCAGCGCCACTCCTAGCAGTACTGCATTCGGTTTATCGTCAGCCAGGGTGCGCAAAAACTCTGTCACCAGATCACTTTCCAATACCACATCGGACGGCGTTGCACCCTCGTCTTCACTACCTGAAACGCAGTAAAAAAACTGAGTCTAGAGAAATTAGGGGATAATAAAGAAGAGAAGCTAGAAGGCTTACCTTTGGCGAGGTGGCGTTCAAGTGTAAGCTTGTCGGATTCCACATCTCCCTGAATACTTAAGGCATGTGTTTTCTCTGTTAAAAGGGCCAGGTCTCTGGAAAGCAAAAAGCGCAGAGGAAAAAAGGGGGAATAACAATTTCCGAGTCCCATTGCATGTGTGCATCATCAGCTAACCTGAAGCAAGAGGGCAGGAGAGAGCGAAAACGCGTAGCCTTCTCGATCCACAGCCATCGGGTAAGTTGTGCGTCGGCTGCAGTGGTGGAGGGGCCGTGGGGACCCGCGCACGGCGTAGAGGCAGCAACCATGGCAGCACCGGTGCCGGGAGTGACGACGTGGAGGTTATAGGAGGAGGGAGTAGTGGTAATCACCCCGGAGAGGCCATGTGAACCCTGTGGTATGTCGTCAAACATAACTGTTGATCGACGGATGCGCTTGGAAATCCTTCGATGATCGTCCTCATCGCCCTACGAGGAAAGTGGGAGGCATGGGGGTATCTGAAGAAATGGCCAACCAATTACTCAGTTGTGCCCGCTGATATCGGAGCATCAAAAGCAGCATTCTGGCACTGGTATACGATTTGATGAAGCAAATGAAGCGGATATTCGGACATTACAACAAAAGCAGAATCGGCTAACGCCTCTTTAGAATTCACAAACAGTTAAAATTGGACAGAGAGCATTTTTTCATAGACATAAACATGTAATTTGTAAATTTTACTAAATTTTGAGGAGTTGCACGAGTATATCGCATCAAATTTGAATGAAAAGGTAGTGGTGATTTCCCAACGTTGATATCATACACGACGATCCCAGAACTAGTCAGAAAGAAGGCTAGTAAGTCCCGACGTTCATGAGTATGGCATAGGGCGATTCAGAGTCTGTCTTGATAGCAGCACTTCCATGAAACCGCATGCGAGGCTTAATAACATCACAATTTATCTAAGGAAAATAAATCACTGATGGTGCATTATCCTGCTTCGAATTAAATTTTGTATAGGATGTGAAATTGACTGATAAGAGGCCAGGATAGTTGCTCCGAGAAACTAAGTAGGCCCCAGACAGTGATTCAAAAGCTATAAAAAATATAGCAGAATACATGGAAAATATGAAACTATGTATAGCGAAATTTCAAAAATAAGGAAGTTGAATCTGAGAGTGGCTTTAACTATTTCACCTAAATTAAGCTGGACTAATTAGTTTACTTCTGAGCGATACAAAGTATGTTATTTAGTGAAACTAGAAAAAGACGTCATTAAATAAATCTCGTCATAATGTCACACATTTGAAATCATGCCAAGAACAATAGGAGTAAATGAGTGAATTGTACTGAGACACAACTAGGATCCCATCAGCTACTTAACTAGGATAAGTAAGGAACCTACCTTGACACCGGTCGATGTTTGTTGAGCCTCGGTGGATTCGGGGTGTACTTGAGATGCCTGCTGGGAGGAGTCGCCACAGGTGTCGGAAGAGAGTGGTTGGAATGAAACCTCGGAATCGACGTCTATGATAACGACATCCATAGAAGCAACCACTTCAGTATCCTGTGAGTGCTGCCTGGAAGGGATTTGGCATCCCTCGAAGAGAGACCGTAGATCGAGCATTGAGTTGATCGTCTAAATAAGCATTACACATTAAGGAAAATGCCATATTTATGTTAGAAGTAGATAAAAGGCAATAATAATCTGGTTCTTTTCGCCGTAAAAGTGTGAAGCTAAATTTGCATACCAACATAATCGTGGTAAATTAACTGCTAAATTTATCTGACGCCAGTCACGCAGAAGACAATCCAACTTAAAAAAGTTTTGGAAGAACATATAACCGCTACTTATAAGCTTCCAACATTCCGGAACGACATGATCACAAATGGGTTATTTAAAATCGGCCATCGAGACACGTACTAATGACAAAGGCTTATAGGGTATGCCATAGCACGCATAGCAGCATTAAGCAAAGGTAATCAAGAAAGCCTTTTGATTGGTAGATTGTGCGGATGATCTTCAAAAAAAGAGAAGAAGGCTGAACAACCAATCATTTTTCTCCAAATTCTTGCGATTCAGTTAATATCCCTGAATAAATCGCGAATTCATATTACTTAGAACAATATAGGACAGGCCCACGGTAATTCAAATCGTATAAGTGATGATATTTTACAAATGCCATGGATAAACTATAACTTATTGTTCATTAAATACGATATTTCACAGTCAACATTAAAAGTATCCTTTCACAAATTTCAAAAACAATTTGCCCAATCAAGCAGCATTTCTCGAACTTTAAAAACAGGTCTGGAAAATTGATAACGACTGTTGACGGGGAACAGAGCTAGAGGAAGAAGAGAGGTGATGACATACTGAAAGACGTTTTCAAAAAGAATAAAACGTTTCCTTCACATCAAGTAGGAGGAACTCAACCATCTTGGGGACACAACGGTACTCACTATAAGGTCTGTTTCATACAGTGAGAATATCACAGTCTCCCAGTTTAGCTTCTACAATTTCGAGAGGGCTCTTGGCACGACACCTGACAAAGCAATCGTTGCCTTGCAAAAACGTCGAAACGTTTATTCGCGAGACCCCTCACTTATGACTATATCTGACTGGGTACAGAAAATTATCCACCCACAGCAATAATTCGACCGGGTTTTTCTTGACACTTTAGCCGCCAGTACTGTAAAACGGCCATCGGAAAGAACGCGTTTCCAGCATACTTAGATGATAAAAATCGGAGCGAAATACCAGAGGTAATATGGACTCTCAAACCTGTCACGTCAAAGAGCCGAACTTTCCATATTTGATTGTCGACTACACTGCAAACACTTGAATCATCCTCACTTACGCCCTCCTTGTTGAGCCGATCGAACATGTTGACAAAGGCATGGGCCAAGTGCTCCCACCTATAAAAGAAAAAAGTGAAGTCATTAAACTTTAGGTGAGAGGGTAGGGGGGGCCTAGAGGTACAGAGAACACTCACGAAAGTTTGGTCAAGGGTTCCGGAAACTTCACCGTTTTGATCGCGTCCGCGTTCTTGAACTCATCCAACATTCGCATGTAACCCTCGCGAATCTTCGCAATGCGCTCGTCAGTCTTAAGTTCAATTAAGGAGGAAGTGTTCCACGTTAGAATAGACACTACAGGTAGGATAGTTTACGGGATTATTATGTTTTTCCAAGACTAAACCAAACTCAAAAAAGTGGTGTAAAAGAATTTCATGCAAAAAGATCCATGGATTCGTTGTAAATCACGACCATTTGTAAGATTGTGGTG